GAAGACGAACTTTGGACGTATCAAAGATGCAGAGAAAGAAGAATGATATTTATATCCACAATCGAGTCTTTTGAAGATGAAGTAAAGAAGAATTAAAATACCAGCAGTGGAGAATGGAGGTTACATGACAGGACGAAATGCTTAATCTGTGTCAAGCACAACTTAGTACCGTCACCAGGAGCCGGCCTCCAATTAAAGTCAACAACTAAAGAAAAGTAATACAAAAAAGAAGAGGAGGAAGAATAAGATGCAATGGGTTAATTTCCACCCAGGCCCCCCCCCCCCCCCCCTCCACTACAAACACACAAACACTCACACATACACGCGCAAACAGGAGGTCCCTCGTTCCGTAAGAGGACTTTTAATATTTTTTAATCAGGGTCCCAACCACAATAAAAACATGACACATTTTCAGCAAGCTTGAATTTTGTAAGAGGTAAGATTAATAATAATAATAATGGAAGAAGAAGAAGAAGAAGAAGAAGAAGAAGAAGAAGAAGAAGAAGAAGAAGAAGAAGAAGAAGAAGAAGAAGAAGAAGAAGAAGAAGAAGAAGAAGAAGAAGAAGAAGAAGAAGAAGAAGAAGAAGAAGAAGAAGAAGAAGAAGAGGAAAAAAGAAGAAGAAGAAGAAGAAGAAGAAGAAGAAGAAAGAAGAAGAAGAAGAAGAAGAAGAAGAAGAAGAAGAAGAAGAAGAAGAAGAAGAAGAAGAAGAAGTAGAAGAAGAAGAAGAAGAAAAAGAAGAAGAAGAAGAAGAAGAAGAAGAAGAAGAAGAAGAAGAAGAAGAAGAAGAAGAAGAAGAAGAAGAAGAAGGTGGAGGAGGAGGAGGAGGAAATAGAGAGGGAGGAGGAGGAAAAGGAGGAGGATAAAGAGAAGAAGAAGAGAAGTAGAAGGAGAAGAGGAGTAGGAGAAAAACAAACAATTGCAGCAACTATAAAATACAAAATATGCAAAGAAAGCAACTATTTAGACCAAAATTTGACATCAATAAAATCTTGAAATAACGTACCCGAGGCGTAGTCTCCGACTGTTCAGTGTTAAACTAATTTAATTACGTGTCGCTGCCGTAAAATATTCTGCGTTCTGAATTACGTCTATTTAATTGCCTTCACATAGGGCATATATTATCAGTAGAGTTCACGGTGACTCTAGCAATCAAATGGGATTTAGAATTGATGTTTACTGGTAGAACTACTACTGATTTTTTGATGACTGATTGTCAACTTTGGTTCTTTGAAAACGATAATGCGGTATTATATTGCGCTATGTGAAGGCACGGGACTAACAGTCCATGGCGAGTAGAGCTACTTTCATTTTATGGTAAATGTCACTGCATCATCATCATCACCTTTACGTAAGGGTAAGCATATTTCCTGTGGCTCAGTCTCTCACCGCAGAACAGCTAACTGCCTGCCGTGAGCGTCGCACAGAGCACGACCTCCGTAGCTCCGGTGACGATCCCCAGGAATCTTATTGAAAAGTGCACTTGTAAACTGAACGGCGCTGTCGTTAAACGATCCCACGATCTTCACAGCGCGAGGCAAGCGGCTTAACCACTTGGCCAGGGAGACGTCTTCATCATCCTCATACAAATATTCATTCATTACCACTGTCATCTGCGTCATTATGTGCTAACAATATTAACAATATTACTGCGGACTCATAGTTATACCAACAGCAACTACTGCTGCCGCTGCTACTGCTGCCGCTGCTACTGCTGCTCCCTACTACTGCTACTATTACTATTACTGTTGTTGCTTGTCTTTGTGAAGTCTCTTTTAGCTAAAGCGGTTCCAAAACATTATTGCAATAGGTCGCACGCGGCTGGAACAAAATTGTTCTGTATCTCCATTTTTAACGTAGTCTCTCATAGCCTTTGCAACACGTGTAGTCCATCGGTCCACAAGAATGTGGATGCCCGCCTGGTAGAAGCCCTTATGTGTGGCCAAGTAACCAAGCTGGCACTACTATAATCACCTCATTGTCATCGGCTAATCTCTGACCCCGCAAATGTTATTTTCAAAGGGTCAAACAAATGAAAGCCCAGAAGTCTTGGCATTCTGTCGTATTATCGGTTATATCCTGAGTAGAAACGAATAGAGAACCGTCAAACAGGCACTGAAATGGGACACAAGCGGACTAAGGAAACGGGGACATCTAAAAAGATATCTTTGGAGGAGTTTTTGTTTAGAGACATATCTATTAATCATGGACTGCACTCAGTATATGAAATGAAGGTGATGGTAGCTGCCTTGGTGTAGCGATTAGTCACTCGCCTCGGGTCCAAAGGTTTAGGTTCAAATCCACGTCGAAGCAATTTTCTTCAAAAAATGACCTTGGCTACAAGGTCAGTCCATCATAAAATGTGTACCAGGTAAAGTCCTAGAAGTAAAGGCGGCTGGCGTGATGTTGGCCGCATCAGGCACCAAGTGTCGACTGGTCTATACAATATACTCTAGGTCTATGACTATATGTCCAATACGCATGAAGGCGTGCTTAAAAGGGTCATTTACTCACCGTCTTTTATCAAGAGGATTGCGCATTGTGGAGCGCATCCAGCGACTAGACCGCAGTCATTTTGTGAGGTATCACGGTACAACAGAAAGCCCTTTATTGTACTAGGCTAGTACGCAAGTACTGTAGGCCAGATGGTCATTGACCTCAAATTCGCATACGCCAATTTATTTTAATGGAACTTGTATTCAAAGTTCCTGTGACAGACCGTCTGCGGGAGGCGTATCACCATATGCCTCATACCCAACTATGTTGGCTGAACATACAGAAAGGTACCCAAACAGGGGTTGAAGTGATGTATCCAGACAGACTGAGCGGCAGATTTCCATGGATCCAGACTGTGTGGCATGTATCTAGGCAGATATGAAAAGTTTTATCCCCAGACCAGAAGAGAGAGAGAGAGAGAGAGAGAGAGAGAGAGAGAGAGAGAGAGAGAGAGAGAGAGAGAAAGAGAGAGAGCAGTGTGAATCCTTGCATGTATACACACAATCAAAGAGACATGTACGAGGGCATTCCTGGATGCAAGTAGTTGATCAGTCAAAAATATCAAAGCTAGCAAAGGCAGACCACGAAAGACGATGCTTGACGACCTGAAACGATAGCATGTTGAAATGTCATCAGCGAAATTTATTCAAAATACCACAGGTCGAGATGTGTAAAGAGACATGGGCCGGGAAAATTATAGGTATAATAATGATGGTGATGATTATGATGATGATGCTAACAAATACGTTAACTAATCTGCATTAAAGTTAACAACGCAAACTGGCAATCACCAGCACCCACGAGAGAGTAGGTTACATATTTTATGTACACCGGGACACAATGTCATCTTATAATTAAGTATCAAAAATGGGTCGATTCAGTTAATTAATTTAACACATGGGACGGGGTCGCCGTCACACAAATAAAACTACTTAGGGAGCTTAGAGATGTGGGTCAGGGGGCCTCCTTACACATGATTTAGGAGGAGAAGGGCTTCAGTGAGCTTCAGAATTATTTTAATTTGTAGTAATAATAAATATTATACTACGCTACTACTGCTGCTGCTACTGCTGCTACTACTACTACTGCTACTGATGCTGCTGCTACTACTACTGCTGCAACTACTACTAAAACTTTTGCTGCTGCTAGTACAACTACTACTACTGTTGCTGGCGCTACAACTACTGCTGCTGCTGCTACTACTACTACTATAGCTCCTGCTGTTTCTACTACTGCTGCTACTAATTCTGTTACTAGGAGAATTATTTTGTGCTGAATAAATATAATATTTAAAATAATATACAAGTTAAGTTAAGTTTTAGGAACCAACATCATATTACCCCGGTAATTCCCATAAACGCTCTGTCCCGGTCTCCAGTAGCCATCGCAGAGTTCCAACTCCGATGGTAGCAATAACAGGATTTATTGTAAGTGCGACTCTCCTTTCCTGTTAGTGTAGAATGTAGACCAGATCCTCTAGTCTCTCCGCTGTGCATCATTCTTTTTATACCATGATACTCTAAGTGTGCCTTGACACTGTTCACAATCCCTCCCTCCACCCCCGCCCCCTTATGGCCCCCCCCCCCCCCCCCCAAACATCTAGTTTGCCATGTACAAATTTACCACCAAGTGGTGCAGAGCTAGCAAGTGGATCTGTCTGTTCGTTTCCTAACACACCTGCATGACCTGAAGATTAAATCTAAGCGATGCTAAATACCCTAAACTTCTGAACGAGGCATACCTGTGTAGCCCTTTCTACGCGCGCTTTGCGGATCGGTTTAAATGACAACATCAAATCCTGATTCTCAAGCCAACGGAAGGCTGCAGTGACCGGACCGATGTTGTGATATCATTTGCCAGACTGTGTTCTGCTAAGGGTCGTCAATTAGCTGTTGCCATGAAGCCCCATGCATTTCTTCTGCATCTCAACACAAAGACATCGGAGGAAATAATCATATCACCTGGGTGGGAATTGTCATGAATCGGGTTATTGAATTTGAATTTTTGAATAATATGAAATGATTTTTTTTTTCTAAGTGAAAGGAAACTTTTATGAATAGGTGGGGAAGAAAATGGGTGGGGGGGGGGGGCAAGGAAAAAGGGGGGAAAAGGGGGGGGGGGTGCAAATGCGTGCTGCACAACCATTGTGCAGACTTCGTTTCATTGGGCGGGGGGGGGGGGTGAACCCCATATAGACGCGCGCCTGCATAAAAGCTCACGCACTTTTCAATCTTTTAATAGGAAACGAGGAAGGTCCCAATTATTGAACTAGTCTGATATTTTGTCGGGTAACTTGTCATTCTGTAACAAATAAGGCGCAGTTTGAGAAGACCCTGTCACATTTTTGTAACGTGCCCAACCGGGAGGTCAATCGGCGTTTTTGGAGACTTGAGATCTATCCCAAGCTGACAACAACAAAGTTACAGATAACCATGTTTGTGGGTGCTGGTTTCTAGCTGTCACAGCCAACAGTTGTGTTTATTCGTGCCTCCTTTTTAGCGTCACCATGGAATTTGTTTATAAGTAAGTTGTTAACTAGTTTGTAATTAAGGAAAAAAAGAAGGGGAAAGAGATGAGAAACAAAACAGATAGCCTTTCTTGTCAGTGGATGAAGGAGGGAAGTTCCACATGCCACCAAGTGGTAGAGCACTTCTTTTCTGATCTGGCAACTTTTGAAGCACGCTTAGTTGCAAACGTACTGGTGGGTTTTTTTTATAGGTAATTATATAGGTCGAGAGAGGGATCAAGCTGCATGGACAGCTCTTGGTCTCAACATTGCTCACGCTTTGTGCCATAGAGAGGAATAATTGGTATCCTTACTTGGCACAACTGTGAGCTATCATTGTCATACATCCTTAATTGACATAAACACGGGCTGTCATAGTCATGTATCCTTACTTCGCACAACCATGGACTGTCATTGTCATGTATCTTTACCTGGCATAACCATGGGCTGTCATTGCTATGTGTCCTTACTTGGCAAAACCATGGGCCGTCATTTCCATGTATCCATACTTGGCACAACCATGGGGTGTCGTTGCTATGTATCCTTACTTGGCATAACCATGGGCTGTCGTTGCCATGTATCTTTACTTGGCATAACCATGGGCTGTCGTTGCCATGTATCCTTACTTGGCACAACCATGGGCTGTCGTTGCCATGTATCCTTACTTGGCATAACCATGGGCGGTCGTTGCTATGCCTCTCGTGAGATAAGGGAACATTGTCGTCTGGATAGATGAAAAGATACTAACTATAGATAGCACAACAGTCTGCGTGTTTGTTTGTGGTGTGTGTCTGCGGCGTCTGTGTGAGAGTGTCGAGGTGTGTGTATGTGTGTGTATGTGAGTGTGTGTGAGTGTGTGTGAGAGCATGTGTGTCTGTATGAATGTATGACAGTATTATTTATATTTGTATGATATGTATGCATATATGCAGGTATAATGTGTGTGAGTATGTGTGTATGTGTGCATGTGTATGTGTGTATGTCTTTATGTATGTGGGTGAATATATGTGTGTGTTTGCGTGCCTGCGTGCGTAGGTGGGTGTGTGTATGTATGTGCACATGTAGTGTACCACTCATGACTCCCCCCCCCTCCCCCACCCCCACCCCCCGATATTCACAATATGCATATTATTATTTAAACATAACATGCTTTACTGATGAAATACAACTGCTTTGTGAAAGATGGTGTTTGGAAGGGCCGAATGTAAGACAGGCCTGCTGGCCCAATGTGTGACCCTTTGAAAATAAACTTTGTTTATTTCCTACACATCACAGTCTCTTCAGATTCAAGCGTCTCTGTTGTTCAAATATCACATGTTATAACTATGTATCCAACAAATACCAATGCATTCTAATCAACAGTACATTCTGTTTCCAGATCGTTTCTCCTTGCTTTCCTGGTACACTGCGTGGCGACCTATCCGGAATACAGAAAACACATTCCTAACGGATTTTCCGTTCCGTTTCCCTGCAAACCTGGAGAAACCTGGCTAGGAGTAGGTCATTATGAGGCTTACGGAATGGGAGATCTGAATCCTTTTGGCAATGACTTTTTTCTGGCTTACCATGTGAGTTGAAATTTAGTTTTTCCAGTTCCTGTGTGGGTTTTGGGGTCTCATTGTTGGAGAAAACGAATAGACCTACTACACCCTAACAAGCATGTCGTAAAAGGTAACTGATTAGGGGTGTTTTCTTCCAAGTCGGAATGCATCGGCCTGAGAGGCAAAGGAACCAACACACTGCATGTGCACGCAAAACAGGTTCTGGAACAACAATAAAGTCTGCTGTAATTAGCCGAGGAAGAAATATGAGCAAAGCAGACGTACTGACTATGCAGTGTTCTAAACACTTTGAGACAAGAGGGACAATGAACCGTCTGTTGGAAGTGGGTATTAAACGATAAAAGGCATGGAGACACCAGTTGTGGAACCAAAAAAAAAAAAAGAAGATATGCCAGTCAACTCCTACTGGGTACGTTGGGCATGGAGACACTGAGACGGCTGATGTATTGGAGGACGGAGGAAGAATGGAGTTGACCGATGTGCCGGTAACAAGTGAAAAAGGTAAAGTCCAGATATGGACGAACAATCAAAACTTGCTACCGGAATCTGCAGCCGGTGAACCATGAGAAAAAGAAAGCAGATATTTATTTTTCTTGAAGCCACGGAAGGTACATGAAAGACCTACAGCTAACAGATATCAATGTAGAAAAAAAAAAAAGAAGTAAGAAACATTATCAACACACCGGTTTTTTCTTCTTCGTCCTCATAGTGTTTACTGGCAGTTCGTCCACTTCTAGACTTTTGTTTTGTTTAAGAACTTGAATTATGTGTGCAAATATATATATATATATATTCCCATACATAAACATTTAATCGTGTAATGGATGTGGCGGGTAAATTCGCTTTGTTTAGCGAATGCACTATGTGCAATCTACAGAGGGAATCACAAATAGTGAATCGTCATAAACGTTTATATTACCCCCAGACTTGCTGGTTAAATGAGAGGATTCAGAGTTTGCCCACATCTGATTCCCAACTGTTTTTAAATTGTATATTTAAATGTACTTATGTTCACTGACACAAGTAAGTGACTACCTAAAAACTGTCAGAACATTAACACTATAACATTTATTCGGAATTGGTATATTCAACTAATAACCAATTGGCTGTAGAGATACAATTGGTTCTTTATAATGGATTGGGATTGTAACAGATGTTCCCACTTAGCTGTAACTCAGGTTCCTTTGGTCAGCTTCTAGCTAAGCCTCGGAGACACATCAGGCAGGCCAAATCTTCCAGTTCAGTCCAGACAATCGGGCATCTGCAGCTACGCTGGGATTTACTTCTGGAACACCCACCTGAACCTAGAACAACAGAACAGTCCCTATACAAGCAGTTTGGAAAGTTCTCACTGGAGACAACAGTACCTCCAGTCCTCAAATTGTTACACTACACACACATATGAAGTAGGATAGTAACAGGTGTTCACATTCTACTGGTATAGAATAGGAATGTATTCTGAACATCAGTTTCATGAATTCTTTCAAGCACAAGAGTCACACAATAAGAAAGGACATTCATCAATGCGAATTATTCTGGTGTCTTTACAATAGTGAGGGGTTCACATCACAAAGAATGAGAATCAGGGGGTGGGTTTACATGGGCCGGAAACTCATAACAGGTGCTTTGCACGGTTTGAAAACAAAATGGGATTGAAACATGTCCATCAATATAACTGGGTGCTGGGATAGATGTCCTAATACATCATCGATGACAATTGACTTTCCATCTGTCACAGTGTTAACATAAAATATACAAAACTCACTCTAATTTAAATTTAAATCCACACGTGAGCTAAATATTATTCAGTAGAGTTTAGAAGTTGAAAAGGATGAAATTCAATTATTACAATTGTAAGGCCACCTGCTGTGGTACTGAAATATATTCCTTGTAATGGGGAAATATATATCATCATCATCATCATCAGGTTTCTTGCTGACTGGCGTGGGCGAAAATGCCTCTCGATAATCTGCGATCTCCTGCAGCATGTATCAGTTCGTGTATCGACACACCTCCATGCCATGCAACAAGACTGTCAAGCATCTTCTCTCGTTGTCTTCCTCTATCTCTCCTTCCACATATCTTTCCAGTGGTCACAACATGTTCTATTTTCCCTCTTCTCATAACATGATGTCTGTGATAAGTTGTCTTCGAGCTCCCGCCTCTTTCAAAACCTCTTGGTTGATCTTTTTTACTGTCTAAGGTATATGTACATATATATATATATATATATATATATATATATATATATATATATATATATATATATATACAACAATAATAATTATAAGCATGGGCCATACATCTCTCTTCTTCTTCTCAGACAGTGTGAATATTAAATTTAGCCACCCAGTGTTATTCACTTCTCCAAGCTCTTAAACCAGTCTCATAAATATCTGGACTAAATCTGTATTAACTCTTTGAGTCCCAAGGAACGCATCATACGTCCATAGGTTCCTACCTAGAATCCCGGTGAACGCATGATGCGCCGATTTGTATTAATTTCGTTACTACCCCCTGGGCCTGTGATGCTAAACCCCCTGGGACTCAAGACAGGGATTTATCAAGCTTATATCACCATGAGGTCAAATCAATTTAGTAAGGATTAGGTATAATGAATATACACTTCATTCCTTGATTAATTGTCACACCATGCTGGAAATCGGAACTGGCAGAGATTTCACATGGAGACATAAATTCTCACTTAATTAATATAATTATAATAATTAAAAATACCAATGCACGTTCCTAATATCAAATAAACATTGTATAAATCATTAAATAGATCATAGGTTTACCTACATGTACATACTAGATCCTAAACGTGGTTAGTTAGGATAAGGGAATTCACAAGGATTTCACCCACCATGTGGGCATCAAATTTCACGTTCAACATATGAAATTAATTCAGAGGAATAGCAGCAATAGATTAAATTAAAATAATACTATTCACTCACCCCTCGTAGGGAATTCAAACACACAATGGTGACTGCAGGGGGTTATACTGAGTCATAAGCAGACAGAGAACCATCTAGCTTACTATGTGTTCGGTTTAAAAATGAAAGTAGGAAGTCCTAAAAAAAGGGAAGTAACTCTTGAGTTACTCCTTGCACTACTTATTCGCCTTTTATAACTTTCAACTCTTTAATTGTAATTTTTCTATAATGAAGCATTAAGAAAAAGGTAAACAATTTTATAATATTACTTAAACAAAGCAATACTTCAAAGGGAAGAAACAGCTGACCAGACCAGCTCGTCACAATGGATTAGAGTATATGGTTATACTTTTCCAGTCTGCGATGATGGTTGACATTTCAAGAATTGTGTGTTTGTGTAAACAGACTTTCTCCAGCATTACTCGAAAACTGCACTTTTGTGACATCAGATTTGACTATATTCTCAACACAACATTGTTACCAGAACATTAGTGTTGCGTGCGCATCCATTTTACAGAAAATATGTATGCACACTGTTTGTTCCTTGCCTCTCAAGCAGATGCACTCCAAATTCTAAGGAAGCTCCCAGTTAGTCGACTCTTACGACAGGCTTATCGCATGCTTACCTTGGACGCAGTTGGACTATTCTTGTTCCTAACCCCCCCCCCCCCCCCTTCTTCCCCCTCAAATAGGGCCCCAGGAACCCACACGAAGAACCAGATGTGGATAATGAGAATGTTGATAATTAGAAAAGAGATGATAATGGTGATGAGATTGCTCTTTATAAGGATCAATTTCATACCATACATAAATAATTAAGGTAAACCTTTTTGGCCAGGAAGGAAAAGTTACATTAATATGAGAGACAAAATTTCTAATATTAACAACTCATTTCTGGCGAACAACAGAAGAAGAATAGGAGGAATAATGCGTATATAATCAAATCAGATTCATTCGTGCTGACCTCGACTGGTTGATTAACATCTGCAGATATGGACCGAGGAGCTGTGCCGAAAAGATTCCGATGGGGACGGGGTCCCAAACGGAGTGGAGCTCGGGGATCCAGACTGTGTTTGGCACAAAGAAGAAAAACCGAAGTTTCCAAAAGCGCTCTCACATCCAGGTATAGTTGAAACTCTCGCACAGGTATAGTATTATCTTTGACACACATTTATAGATCGATATCTCTCACCTAGATGTAGTTTTTTCTTCCATTCAGATCTAGTATGATCGCTTAGACTCGGGTAAACTTTGACCTCTCAACCCAGATATAGTTTTATCCCTCACAACCAGGCATAGTTTGATCTCTAAAAGGCAGGTATGGTTTTATCTCTCAAACCCAGATTTGGTGTGATCTCTCACACCCTGCTACAGTTTTTATCTCTCTCAAATATACAGTACGAGGTTGAATACAGCTCACACCCACGTTTAGTATTATCTCCCACACACTAATAACGTGTAAGCTCTCACTCGTTGGAATAATATCTTTCGCACGCAAGTATAGTATGATCTCTAACACGAAATCATATTGGAGGGTCTCATAACTAAGTCGAAACATTGTAGCTATAGCTTTCGATTTTTAACTTGTCTAGTGTGTTCTTTTATCTTTCTACTTCTGTCTATGAGTGACGATCAGTACATTGTCTGTTTGTTTATTATCTGTATAATATTTCTACGGCCTTTAGTGTTCCCTTCTGTTTATTCATTACAATCAAGGTCGATGGCCATATATCTGCAAAACGCTCTTATCTTAGTTGCACTATCTCTCTCTCTCTCTCTCCTCTCTCTTTCTCTCTTTCAGACTGCAGTTTAGCCATCTATTGACGCGGTGCTCCCACTTGTATCATTATATACCTCTTGATCTTTTGTCTTAGACTTTTGTTTTATCCAATATAATTTATAAAAGAATGTTATGTCTGTATATGAGGCCGAACTATTTCAGTCGTTTCTTTTTTTAATTTATTTCAGTAACTTTCTTGCTAGTCGCTGTCTCTCCACAACCTCCGTATTTGATTGTTTTAAAAAAAAAATGATTACCACATGGCTCCTAGAAAAGCGTCTACAGCGAAATCATCACATAGAACTAGTCAAGCAGTTGAAGTTGACGGTTGTTCCTTGTCTTCCGCAGGAATCTGTGACCCTTGGAACAGCACGTACTGTCAAGAGAGGAGCTTCAATGGGACGCGCTTCAGAACACAGAAACAATGGCTGGACTACGAGTGCAACAGTCCTGATTTTAAATGCCCCGCCTTGGCTGAAGAGGGTAATGATTGCTTTATCGTTGTGTATTTACTCTAAAGGTCTTGGGTTCAGGCCCCGACTATGCAGAGAATACTGCTGTAGATGACCACAGGAGAGGTTCACTGTAGTTAATGGCTCAAGGGGAAGGCGAGACGGGCATACCACCAGACTGGTTCTGGTTCTATCGAAACTGAAACTCTGTGCTGGCTGCTGGAGATGATGAAGGAGCACTTATGGAGATGTCCCAACTGCTTTAATGTCAGTTCTTAACTCCACTGTACTTATCTCAGCTGTACTAAATGAGCTACCCACACTTCGCCGACCGGGACGATCAACTCGGAAATCCGTTGAGCAAACTGGGGAGGACGTGACATTTCTTGACAGGCAGTTAGTTAGTTAGTTAGTTAGTTAGTTAGTTAGTTAGTTAGTTAGTTAGTTAGTTAGACAAATAGCTAGTCATTCAGTCAGTCAGTAAATCAGTCAATCAGTCAATTAGTAAGTTAGTTAGCTAGCTAGTCATTCAGTCAGTCTGTAAATCAGTCAATTAGTCAATTAGTTGGTTAGTTAGCTTGTCATTCAGTTAGTCAGTAAATCAGTCAATTGGTTATTTAGTTAGATAGCTAGTCAGTCAATCAGTTTGTTGGTAGTTAGTTTAGTAACGTAGTTAGTTAGTTCGTTAGGTCATCGATCCGTCGTGCTCATCTCACAGTGGACCAGTCAGATCCCATCTTGAGCGTCTCCTTTAGGGTGTGGCCGACGACTGATAACGCCAGTTCTGGGTTGTTTTACACTCGGCTACCTGTATAGTTTTCATATCTAGCAACACCTTTTATGACATGCAGTTCTTTAAGAATACCGATCCGGACCACTGCTTTTATTGTGCCAACCTTAGTCCTGCCAGCAAACCAGTCCGCTCGTTCATTGCCTCTTACCCTAGATTAGCTGGGTCTGGACAGCTACCAATCTAAACCGATTTATAGACCGACACAGTGTATTCTACTGAATGTAATTTTAGACGAACAATATTTAAAGTTTAATTAAAAATTTAGAAACATGACGCTAAACTTATGTCTTTACAAACCTCATCGGTTCATGTTTTACACATCATATCGATTGCCTTTACTTCCCATGATATTATCATATACCCATTTTAAGTTGGGTCTACCTGTGGGCCAAGACTAAATTTTGACAAAAATGCTCTTCGAATCAAAAATCTCCGGCCGGCAAGCGAACGCCTAACGCGATTCTAATAAATAACCTGTCAATAGTGGGTTTGAAAAGTTGTGCCAACACACTGTAAGAAATATCTCTACAATTCCTGTACGGATCAACACAACCAGTTGTTTGTGACCACTGACTTTCCATGTCCTTATGATTTTATAATTTAAAAATGCACAGGTACTGTTGTTTTCCTGATAAGCTCTTTGTTTGACTTCAAAACTTCGTGCCCCTTAAAAATTAAAATATAGAGTAATTGACAGACGAATGAAGATTGGAAATTCCGCCACCCGCATACAATGAAAAATTGTGTTCATGTAACTTACGGTAGACTAATGCTGGAAATTACCGTCTGAGAATGAAACACCTATGAACAGAGTGCAGTCCGATGTTTTGAAAAATTCCCGTTACAAAATTAATTGTAAACATGGTGACTGCTTACTCTGAATGTTTGAATGTCTTTTTTTTATATACTATATATATATATATATATATATATATATATATATATATATATATATATATATATATATATATATATATATATATATATATACCGCAAATAGGGCAAAATGTAAACTAGATGTCTGTTTACATTAATTTAAAATTTCCTACAAAGACATAATTGTTAACAGGTTACACGCCACCATATTTCAACAACTGAAACAGAACGGTTACTGCGAAACAGATTGTGAAAAACGGGTACGATTTCAAAAAACATAATATAACTAATGTGTAAGCATCTGTCAATCCAGATGAAGTATGGATCTGTTCCGCTGGCCTGGGAAACTGCGCAAATTTTGATGACGTTTAACTCATCAAAATGTCAACATTTAATATGTTTATTTTCCCCCTAAAGAAATGAAAGCCGTGACAATTCGATTGCCATCTGGCAGTGTGGTCCCGGCAGAGGAGACAGCTTACAAATGTATCGTGTTGGACCTTGCATCTCTGGGAATCCCACTCGACCGGGACTTTCACCTGGTGGCTATCACCCCGAGCCTCGACAAGCACAACCTGACCCATCATATGAGCCTTTCTGCTTGCAAAGGTAGGTCGCTGTGCCTGTTCGTCATCAGCATTCACCGTTAGGCTTTGTGTTGCGGCTTACAGCTAGGTTGTGGTATTTGTCCTTTCAGATCGACGCATCATACTCGGAGTAGTTGCTTTTTATGATCATTCTATAGAAGTTTCTTTTCATTTTTCTCTGCTTATCTGTCTGTCTGTCTGTCTATCTGTCTGCCTGCCTGCCTGTTTGCCTGCCTGCCTGTCTGTCTGTCCGTCTGTCTGTCTTGATATCTGTCACTGTGGTAGTTTATTTGTCATTTCATCCATCTATCCATACCATCTACGTTTACTTATTATCTATATCTGTTGCCTGCCTATTTGTCGTTTATGAATGTATTTCGTGTCTATGTTCTGTTTCTTTATAAAAACTAACTTACCAGCAGATTTTTTTTAATCTATACATTCATTAACTTAAAAAAAACACCTTGTCATTTGATTGCACAAACGATTGATTGTGTCTATGGATTGCTCTCGTAGATGACACAGCCATTTGGCCGGCTCCCTTTGAGTGTAAGTACGTCGTGTCCCCCCAGTGTCCGGAGTTTTTCCATCTCTGGACTATGGGCGTCAAAGGTCATTGTTTCGACCCCTTTACTGGAATTATGATTGGTCCAAACGGAATCAAGAAACTCGTCTTGCAGGTAATGCCCATTTTACACATCTAAGACAAGGTAATATTATCTATTATTTTTGTTAGTAATATCTCTTCTTCTTCTTCTTCTTCTTCTTCTTCTTCTTCTTCTTCTTCTTCTTCTTCTTCTTCTTCTTCTTCTTCTTCTTCTTCTTCTTCTTCTTCTTCTTCTTCTTCTTCTTCTTCTTCTTCTTCTTCTTCTTCTTCTTCTTCTTCTTCTTCTTCTTCTTCTTCTTCTTCTTTTTCTTCTTCTTCTTCTTCTTCTTTTTCTTCTTCGACACCATCATCATCATCATATAGCTAGACTACGATATCTTCTATACAGATTGGATTTAATAGTGATGATTTTGACGATGACGATGATAATGATGATGCTGATGATAATGATGATCAGGAGGATGAGCAGAAGCAGAAGGAGGATGCTGAGAATAAAGTTGTATCTGGGAATACCAACGTCATATGAAATGAATGTTTCCTATGAAATACATAAATGAACGATTGTTGTGCTCACCAAGTGTATCTTGCCATCACCCACAGGTACACTGGAACAACCCAGAGCTAATCTCTGGTCTGACAGATACCTCTGGACTAGTTCTTCACTATACTCCAGTATTGTGAGTAGTAACAACATGTCGTTTCAAAACTCCTGTTTTTTTTCCCCCTGCTTTGCAATCTGATACCGATTTTTGTTAGCTTATATAGAACTGATGAGAAACATTATTGTAGGCCATAAATCTTCTTTCTCCTGTCTTCATGGTCTGTAAGCTCTGGTGGAAAGTGACGGTATTTCGTACATCTGGAATTTTGGCGTTCTGTCAGGGCTTGAGTTTTACGTGTTTTGCTGGCTTATTTGTGTGCAGCTGGTTCTTCCATGCCGCTCAGGCAGATGTACTTAGACTTCTAAGAAAGCTCCTATTTAGGTGACTCCTGACACGCTTGTTGGGGAAGCAGTGGGTCTATTCTTGTTTTCCCCTCAATAAGGCCATTGAAGCTATCAAGCCAGACCACAAAACAGTAGAGGGGAATCTTTTTATTAGCAGCGTCACGTTAGAATTACCAGTCTAGTCGCTGACCACACACCCAAAAAAAAAAAAATCCCAAGATCTGGTCCTCAGAGATATAAAAAAAATTTAAAAAAAAACATGGTAGCTTTATATTTTATTATCACAATACCGTTTCCTAATGTCTGAGTTTGTCCGTAACCCGAGTTTTTCCAGCAGGATCTCAGATTTGGCGACATTTATTTCTGGCTATCACAGTTTAGGTTATCATGTTTCTGAATGTTGATATTCAGATTTGTTTTCCTTCTGCAGACTAAAATATGTTTGTGAGTGTTTTTAGTTGGTGCTGATGTCCTTCTTTGTGACGTCATTTGTATGCTATTTTCTTCCGTGTCATCTTATGATATCACAATCGACGTCACTGCACATTGGGCATTTCCATGGTGCTCAGTCCTTCAATGCAGCAGTCACCTCAAGGTACCTCTACTGTTTGGCCCCGTGAGGTGTTGGTTGTAATGTCTCCTGTTTCGTCCTAGAAGGAGGTACAGACGTGTCTCACCATGCTTTACTCTCATGTCACGCAAACGTGTTGGTGTCAGAGATTAGTCAGTAGCACCATCTCCTGTGAGTGGTATCTCACCGTACAATCCTAATTGTGTACACCTATCGTCCAAAGGATACATGTACCATAGCAAAAAACTAAAGTCTTAAAAGGTCCGAACCCACATGGAGAACTCAAATCCAAATGAGTAGATTACACATGTGTCCCTTCTTTTAATGATATCTAATACGAATGCGTACGTGTTTTCAGGAGGCCACATGATGCTGGTGTCCTTATAACTGGCTCATCCATGTTCTCTTTGCCTCTGGAACAACCAGAGGTGTTGGTTAAAAGCACTTGCTCCGGTCAGTGTACTCACCAACAGATGACGGGTCCAGTCAACATCACCTCGGCCTGGAACCACATGCACTACTCCGGTACAGTTGTTACAGTCTCAGTCTTACTTAATGAGACCCTCAGTGGGTTCTGCGGTTTCAAAAACGGAGGAGGGGGGGGGGGGCAATAGACCCAGTTCCCCTTAACCGGCAGGTCATAAGATGGAACTAATTAGGAATCTTTCCTTCGAAGTAGAATTGTTTTTGAGAGGTGAGGACGCAAGTCTGCATACAAATAAGCAGGATATGTAAAACGGATGTGCACGCCAAACTAGGCTATTGGAACAAGATCAAAGTCCACAAGTGGACGAACAGCCACATCTGTTCACTAGAGTTTCCAGCGCGTCAACGCTAAAAAAAGAAGACTTTAATGGAATAAACAGAGACAAAAATGAGAACTATTTATGGCCAAAGAATCTTGTTCTTCTTAAAGTCCTTGTCGTATGGCGTCAGTAGTCATGTCTATTCACAACCCATATTTCGTGTACTTTCAATCTACTCTAATACAGATGATTCTTCATGCCATGATGTCAAACTGTCCAGAATCTTTTTACTCGGTCTCCCTCTGCCTCTCCTCCCCTCCAGCTTTCCTACTTCATGATGAGCTCCAGTTTTTTGCTTCTGATCACATGACCAAATAATGTAGACTGTCTTTTTTCTGATGGATGCAATCTTTCCAGAAGTGGACGAACATCCAGAACTTAAAAAGAGTTTAAAACTGGTGAACGCATGCAGGAAAAAGAAGAAGTTCACTTCGTGAGTCAGTTTTTGTCAAGACGTCTTCATTACTCTCTTTATCTGTCCAGGGAATTCTCATTATTCGTCAACAAAACAACATCTCCGCAGCTTACAAATAAGTCTTCACTAGTTTACCTACTGTCCATGATTCACATCCGTATATTAGATGCAATACGTTTCTAATGGAAAGTCACCATCTGTGAAATTATTAATCAAGAATATGTTGTTGGTGTCGCCGTGGTATATAGGTTAGACACTAGCCTGCTGATCCGAAGATCGAGGTTCCACATGGGCATATAGATTTTTTTTCAAGCCTGACCTTGCCTGACATGTCGACCAAACCTTAACTGAGAAAGTCATGGGAAGTAAAAGCAACCGGCGTCATGCTGATATAATTAGCCATTCAGGTTTCATAGATAGGTCTATAAAATCAGTCTAACCTGAAATGCCTGATGCGCCACTGGTGTGTCAAGGTAACTTTAATTTTATGTTGGGTGTTCTCGTGCGCAGGGATCAAAATGAACATCGAAGTGACATGGGACAAACATCACGTGACTAACATCACCGACGACAGAGAGTACGACTACAACAGACCAATAGTTCATCGGTTGTGAGTACAAACACTTTGTTCACGCAATGAATAGTTACCATCACGCACACACATCAGTACATACTCTCTGTTCACCCAGTGACAACTGACCGTCGCATTCACACTTACAGTACAAACTCTTTGTTCACCCGGTGACAAGTGACTATCACGCACACACATAGAGTACATTTTCTCTGTTAACCCAGTGAAAGTTGACCATCACGTTCACACATACAGTGCAAACTCTCTGTTAACCCAGTGAAAGTTGACCATCACGTTCACACATACAGTGCAAACTCTCTGTTAACCCAGTGAAAGTTGACCATCACGTTCACACATACAGGGCAAACTCTCTGTTAACCCAGTGAAAGTTGACCATCACGTTCACACATACAGTGCAAACTCTCTGTTAACCCAGTTAAAGTTGACCATCACGCACACACATACAGTACATACTCTCTATTCACGAAGTGTTATAGGATTTGAACCCACGATCTTCGGATCGGCAAGTGAGTGTCTAGCCCCTAAACCACAGCGGTTCCCGGTCGCACCCTAAAATATAAAATATTAGATTTGTGCAAGGGCGTTGGAACCTGAGAGTTGTCACCTTTATCGACACCCACCGCTCCCCCCTCACCCACAGACCACCCCAATATTTATAACGGCATGTGCCACCTCTCTTTCACAACTGGCTATGCCGCTCCCTTCCACAGTAATGTACAATATAATTTTAAAGCTTGTGTTTATACACACAACATTATTTGCACATATGGACTGGCACCTGAAACAACCGATCACGTCTTCCAATGTCAGTCGCCGTGGCAGAGCGGCTAGACGCTTGCCGCGGATCGGAGGGTCGTGGGTTCGCTCCCGGACTTTTTTCAAAAATGATCTTGGCTCACAGGTCGACCCAGCCTTGACTGGGTACCGGGTGCAGACCCGGGAAGTAAAGTCGGCCTGCGTGATGCTGACCACATCATCCATCTTGTGCTGATTGGTCTATAAAATATAGGTCTAGCCCTATATGCCCTATACGCCTAGAGGCGTGGAAAAGGGTCCTTTACTTTTTTGTAGGTCCTCTAATGTCAAGAGAAACACTGAAGCGAGCTAAACTATACGAATTATGAAAGACAGTGACTATCATACTAGAGACAACATTGCAGATATACAAGTAGATATTCTAATTAGACAAAGAAGAAGAAAATTATTTCAAATTATTGGTTTTACATTGGAATAGCTTGTCTTCTCATAAAAGTGATTTTGTTTGATTGTTGAGAATTAAGATTTCCTATAGCAGTGATGTAGTTTGATCGTCGCTAATCAAGATTTCCTAATCGGGAGATGCAAACCAGCGTCATTGCACACGGTTATAAAGTGCTCTGCCACGTGTACCGACAGCTGACAAGAAACAGTTCGCCTGTGTCGCTTCTACAGCGATGTTACTCCATTTACTAGAGTCTTAACTCTGTTACTCATTACCTAGAGGCTGGGTGAAACCCGGGAACCGCCCGGTTTCCAGCACCAGCCGTGAGCCTGTGTACATAGATAAAATACACACACTATCTGTACCCGGAGACGCATTGCTGTGGCATAGTTTAGCTAAATGGAAAAGAAAGAAAATAGAAATCGCACGTGTCTAATATGGTTACTGTCGCAATCATTGTCTGCTCAAATCTAGAGATAGTCTTCGATGCCCCCCCCCCTCCCGCCCACCACCAACAAATTCACCTACTACTCTCTCCATCATCAAAGATTCTTTTGGAAAAGAAAGACAATAGAAATCGCGCGTGTCTAATATAGGTAATGTCGCAATCATTGTCTGCACAGATATAGAGATAGTCTGGTTTTCCGACTTTAGAACGCGCACCATATAATTGTGTCTTTATATTAGTGGTCGTTTAAATGGTGTTATTAGCACAGTAGCAAACATTGTTTTTTTGGTTATCACATGCTAAAGCTGTTTGTACTTTTATAGGAGACGGAAGTAAAGCTACTGCTGTACTTGTAAATAACAAAGTGAGCCGTGAAAAAATTAGAATAGCGGAGGCAGCGTTAGTAAAATAAAATAAAAATTAAAAAATGAGAATTTTAAAATCGTGTGTTAAGCTCTTTAAGAACAATTTCGGTCATCAATCCTTCCCTTCACCCCATCCACCGACTACTGCTCTCTCCCTCTTCGAAGGATTTGAAAATCATTACCTGACGATATTTGTTTTTCTAACTGACATTGGTATCCCTGTCCATCCGGACTAAAATGGGGAGCAGGAATTGTTATAGGTAGTAAATGGTGCTAGTGTAATATTTACTACACGATACTTCAAGTACCAGTACAACTACTACCACGAACACCACCACAATAGCTAAAATATTGTTACTGCTATCTGTTTTACCATCGGAGTAGACAGGGAGTCGTGTGCCAGAAGATTTGGCGCCTCATGGCTAGTGCTGTCGCCATGAACTGGTCAGGTTAGGAGGTGTAATTTTGCTCCCCGACAGAAGACCGCCATAGCCTTACCGGCGGTCTCTGGCATGACTGCACTACGATGTAACCACCCAACCACAACAACTACTGCTGCTGCTACTTTGAGTAGGTAAAGCAGTAAGTGTGACTTGAAGCTCTCTCATTAAACAGTTCACAAATTCATCGGCTACTCTCCAACTCATCGAAGGTTGTTTGAAAAGACAGAAAAAAGAAATCGTGTCTAATATTGTTATTGTCGCAATCATTGCCTGCACAGATATGGAGATAGTCTTGTTTGCCGTACGTATTTCGCCAGCGAATAGTGGAAGTTTTGCGTTCCGACTACTGCCCATGCGCATTTACGAATGTTGCTTTCACTAGAATTTCAAACCATGACGGGTAAAAATCCAGTATCAAAACAAACATATCCTGAAAATTTCAGCCAAATCGGTTCAGTAGTTTCCGAGTCTATAGATCACACAAACATTGATTTATATATCCATAGTATATGTCAAAGGGTTTACAACTCATGGTTTTCTGGATACCAAATATATATATATATATATATATATATATATATATATATATATATATATATATATATATATATATATATATATATATATATATACATGTATACATATATATATATATATATATTTATATATATTTGGTATCCAGAAACCATGAGTTGTAAACCCTTTGACATAATACTATGGATATCCAAACCATTTTGCCTGATTGATACTGATAGATGATACATACTGTAAATAGGGGAGAAATGTGGCTTTTTTGCCTACCCCTGGAAGTGAACCCGGACAACAATGAGGTAGTCACCTGGTCGCCGCACATAGGGTTTAATCAACTGCGCTAGCGAGCCGGCCATTCATATAAATATATATATAATATTATATATATATATATATATATGCATATATATATATATATATATATATATATATATATATATATATATATATATATATATATATATATATATATATATATATATATATATATATATACACATTAGGGCTGTACCGAATAGTGATTTTCACTATTCGGCCGAATACGAATAGTGGGACCAACTATTCGGCCGAATACGAATACGAATAGTGTATCATCATCATCAGGTGCCTTGCCGACTGGTTTTGGGGATTTTGCTTCGCCACAATCTGCGATCTACTGCAGCATGTATCAGTTCGTGTGCTGACACACCTCCATGACATGCAACAAGACTGTCAAGAATCTTCTCTCGTTGTCTTTTTCTATCTCTCCTTCCACAAATCTTTCCAGTGGTCACCACATGTTCCATTTTTACTCTTCTTATAAGATGGCCGAAAAATGATGACTGTCTCCTTCTGATGTCTGTGATTAGCTGTCTTCGTAAATCCGCCTCTTTCAAAACCTAGTGGTTGCTTTTTTTAGGCTGTCCAAGGTATTTGAAGCATTGTTCTGTAAAACCACATCTCCGAGGCCTCAAAAAATTGTTTGGCCTGGCTACCGATTGTCCAGGACTCATAGCCATATGTTAAAACTGGATGTATGTAGCAAGCAAGACAAAGATATACTGCATAAGATGTTCTTTTTTTATATATATATATAAAATGCAGTATTGGCTTGTCCTATTTTGTTTTTTAATTTTAGTAATGCATCTTTCATCTGATTTTATCCATGTGCCAAATTCGCATTTAAATCATCATTCGTTCAGGCGTTCGTTCGATGTAATTTAAATGCACCTTCTTATTCTCGTTCGCAAATCTTTAATTTGATTGCGCCAAAGACACCCCGTAAGAACAAAAAATGCATGCTCTCTCTCTCTCTCTCTCTCTCTCTCTCTCTCTCTCTCTCTCTCTCTCTCTCTCTCTCTCTCTCTTACACACACACAGATACACACGCACAAAAGCAACAAAAAAGAACGCATTGCCTTTAAAGATCCGTGCTTACTTGACGAGGCTAACAGTTAATATTGTTCAGACCACATTTTCCCCTTCAAAATTTGAGCAAAAATGTAGTCACAACCTTACTTATCTGCTGCACCTTCACGAATACAGATGGAGAATTGGTCGCATGTCGGGATAAATACAAAGACAATTTTTAGCAAGCTGCAGTATGATACACTTTGAGTGTGAAACGATAAAAAAAAAACCTTTTCGAGAGTGGCGAGGAAAGACAATTTAAATTGTAACTTTCAAGTTTATTTATGCCTTCTTTAACACAACAGAAGCGTTGTCTAAATCTCTAAATCTCTAAATCTTTCTTAGCGGGAAAAACTGCGACCTGGTTGCGTGGTAACAGCGCCTGCTGACTCCTCTGAGGCATTACAGCAGAGGTTCTAAAACTGTGTATGCAGAAATCACTATTCGTATTCGGCCCGACCGCCACTATTCGGCCGAATACCGAATAGCTATTAGGTCCACTATTCGGCCCCGAAGCGAATACGAAGCGAATATTCGGTACAGCCCTAATATACATATATATAGCCTACATATATACATATATAATGTAAGTATTTCTGATTCCTCATTTGTGTACCTTGTACTTATTATACTGGTATCTGAGCATTCAATACAATTGCCCTGTAAATAGTGAGTATATTGAAAGAAGACGCTCCCTCATGCTCAATTTGTGTTAGATAAGCTTCGTTAGTTCATTCATTGGTTGGTAACAATCGTGTATTATTTCCATCCGGACAGTTCCGACCAGATTGTCTTCAATCCCGGCGATGAGTTGCACACCAACTGTGTCTTCAGCACCGTTAACAGCAACAGGTCAATTCTGAGTGGGTATGGGGCCCGGGACGAGATGTGCCTTGGCTTCATCTATTATTTCCCCAAACGGAACATGACAATGTCCACCTGCCTGGACAACCTGGGAGTCAGGTAAACGTGGTTGGTCTCTATGTGTGCAGTGACCTAATTTAGCTTTATTGTTGGGATGCGAACACTTTTACAGTCAGCTCTAGCCATCACATGGCCAAAGAACTTTATCTCCTTCTCATTGTTCATATTAGTAGCAGATATAAGTAGACCTATTTTATACAACGATGAAAAGGGGACAAACACAGTTTTTTGTTCATGCGATGAGAAAAGGAGCACTGGAAAATATTGTGACGACTGAAAGATCACTGGTAGAAGAGGCAGAGACAGACCAAGTGAAATGATGATAGATGGCCTAAGAAGTGATACGGGGGAATATCAGTGGAAGTGATCCAGAATACCAAAAACCGAGATCTGTGGAGATGCATGAACGTCTTCGCCAGTTGGCAAGAAACCTGATGACTTGCTGGGATAATGACAAGATGGGGAAGCCACTGGTCGAGCGGGTTAAGAACAATGGGCTTTCATTCAGGAGATCAAGGTTTTGACCTCGGGAAGGCGATGGCGGGGGTAAAAATGAAACCATAACATGCACAGGCAGTGACGAATGCATTAGCCACACAAGTCTAATCTCTATACCCAAGATCATCCTTTTCCGCATCACCCTAAACAAGTGCTACAACAAATGCAGTCGAGACAGGTTGATAGCTATATGGACATGTAAACAGAAAGACAGGATAGAAAGACGGGTAACTAGATAAACAGACATGCACACAGACGTTCATTCAGGTAGCGAGAAAAAATGTGACAGATACACTTACATACTGGCAGCCAGACAAAAACTCACCCCGACAGGCAGACACACAAACATATACATTAAATACCAGTCAGACAGAAATAGTAACAGACAGACAACACTTAGGTGTAATAGGCTAAAAACAAATCTTCTCATTATTCACCAGCACAACCTAACGCATGGTAATTTATTAAGGAGCACACATCATTCGGCCTTGTACTCAGAATGGATAAGACAAGACTCCCGTATCAAGCCCTTATATGGACACCGAAAGTGAAAAGACAACAGGCACTACCAAGAGAGGCCCTGCGTAGAACCATCATCAGAAAAGGCTCAGCCATAGGCATAATGAACATCCTAGACCTAAAATAGGTGGCAACTTAAGGCGAGACATGGAGACCTGTAACCTCTGCCCTATGCGCCGCTTTAGGCTGAAGATGAAAGACTGACTGACCAACTAACTAACTAACTAACTAACTAACTAACTAACTAACTAACTAACTAACTAACTAACTAACTAACTAACTAACTAACTAACTAACTAACTAACTAACTAACTAACTAACTAACTAACTAACCAACTAACACATCATTGTGAACCTAATTTACACAGTGACATCTGCCAGAATATTTGTCGCAGAGAGGAGGCTGTGTGGTCTCGAGGCATGATGTCCGCCTTCAGTGTTAGAGGTTCCGGGTTCATTCCCTAGTAAGGGCTGGGATTTTTTCACGATTTTTTACTGGGACTTCTAGTAATCACCCAAGGGTTCTAGAAATGAGATCGGACGCCAGTGTGCATTGTTGCGCACGTAAAAAATAGCTTGGCTGTTGGAAATCGAAAAGAGTAGCATAAAGGCGCTGCCCGGGCAAAATTTGGAGTTAAAGATCTACGCAAAGTATTTCAGGGTCCTCGTTGGTGCTACAGAGCATGTGTGCTGCGTTGAAACTCTTCGGGCTCAGACTTGAGTTAGAAGTAGACCGGAGCACTTATGGCATACTACCCGTGTACCATGATGTTGATCCGTTGTTTAAAACTTTTAACTATTTGTCGCTGAGATGAGGAAAAGTGTAAAATACATAAAAAAGCTGAAGTGTTTTGCTCATTTTCAACATCATGGTGACCAGGAAATACGATGATGGAGAATGTGTTTTGCGGAAAACGAGTCAGAGGCTAGAGCACTGGAGGGAGAAAGTTTCATGCGTGCCGTGACTAAACGCAGGTTATGTAAACAACCTGTTGATTGTTGACGATGGAATATTCAGATATTCGTTTACAGTGAATAAAGTGTTTCACCAGGCTGTTTTACGTTCAGTAGTTTGCCATAGATTTATGAACGGTCGCACCTCTATAACTCTCTTTAAACCAGGAATAGTGGTGGTAGTAATGAAAGAAGTAGAAGTTGTAGTGGTAGAGCTATTAGTTGTCGGGGTGGTGGTACTGATGGTGGTGACGGTAGTAATAGCGGTAGTAGTGGTAGTAGTAGTGGTAGTAGTAGTAGTAATAGTAGTAGTAGTAGTAGTAGTAGTAGTAGTAGTAGTAGTAGTAGTAGTAGTAGTAGTAGTAGTAGTAGTAGTAGTTGTTGTAGTTGTTGTAGTTGTTGTTGTTGTTGTTGTTGTTGTTGTTGTTGTTGTTGTTGTTGTTGTAAAAGTCGAAGTAATAATATCCGCTGCAATAGTCGCCGCACCAATCGTAGTCCTATTAGAAGCACACACTGTGTATAATATTCCCCAAATATCCTACATGTTTAGACTCTTTAAGATGGTATTGCTTGCAGCATGTGCAGCAACGAGAGTTGGGGCCAGTGCAAGGATCTGCCCAAATTTGTGGAACAAATCAATTCGACGCAAGTGTTTCAGCAAGTGCTGGAGAACTGCCAGAGTTTCATCCCCTGTTTAACTGAATGTCTGCAGACGGTGGTCAAGTTCATGAAGTTAGAGCCCTGCATGCAAGGGCGAGTCTGGGAATATGTTCAGGTGGGAAACTTTGCCATCATGTGTATCATTTGTTCCCGTGATTGCTTTTTATTATGCATGATGTGTATATGTGGATGTATTTCTTATCTGTATGCAGGTTGCCCCTAACAAATCCGGCCACTCTATTGTGTTAAGTGTGGAATTATTATCTCTCATACAAAACGTTATAACAAAAGTCCTCTCCATGTAAAGTGCGAATACGATACTGTTATCCATCATACAGAACATACAAGCAAAATTCCATGCTTTCTGTAGTGTTAACTATAGTGTTATTTTATATCCTACAGACTACGCTTGCATATGTCCCTCTCCATCTATAGTGTTAACAATGATACTATTATCTCTCCTACAGCAAAGCAAAATTCTACGCTTTCTATACTGGTAATTATGATGCTATTTTATATCCTACAGTTTATGCTAGCAAAAATTATTCTCTATATAGCTTCAACTATGATACCACTATCTTTCCTACAAAATAAATAAATAAAATTCCACTATATCTATATGTTAACTATGACACGACTATCTTTCCTACAGAATAAATATACAAAATGCCACTATATCTATATGTTAACTGTAATACTACTATCTTTCCAACAGAATAAATAACAAAAAGTCTACTATACGTGTAAGTTAACTATGATGCTACTTTCTCTCCTAAAGAATAAATAAACAAAAATCCACTATACCTATATGTTAACTATGATAATACTATTTCTCATACAGAATAAATAAATAAAATTCCACTTTACCTATATGTTAACTATGATACTACTATCTCTCCTACATAATAAATAAACAAACATCCACTATACCTATGTGGTAACTTTGACACTACTATCTCTCCTACAGAACAAACAAAAATCCACTATACCGATGTTTTAACTATGATACTACTATCTCTCTTAAGGAATAAATAAACACAAATCCACTCTACTTAAAAATTAACTATGATACTACTAACTGTCCTACAGTATAAATAAAATAAAATTCCACTATACCTATATGTTTACTATGATACTACTGTCTCCTACATAATAAGGAAACAAACATCCACTATACCTATATGTTACCTATGATCCTACTATCTCTCCTACAGAACCAAAAAAAATCCACTATACCTATATTTTACCTATGATACTACTATCTTTCTTAAAGAATAAATAAACAAGCATCCACTTTACCTATGTGTTAACTATGATACTATAATCTCTCCTACAGAATAAATGAACTAAAATCCACTATACCTTTATGTTAACTATGATACTTCTATCTCTCCTACAGAAAAAAAGCCACTGTATCTTTATGTTAACTATGATACTACTATCTCTCCTACAGAAATAATAAACAAAAATTCACTATAGCTGAATGTTAACTATGATACTACTATCTCTCCTATAGAATAAATAAACAAAATTCCACTATAACTATATGTTAACTATGATACTACTATCTCTCCTACATAATAAAAAAAAATCCACTTTACCCATATTTTAACTAGACACTACTATCTCTTCTACATAATAAATTAACAAAAATCCACTTTACCTACATGTTAACTAGACACTACTATCTCTCCTACATAATATAATAAACAAAAATCTACTTTACCTATATGTTAACTAGATACAACTATCTCTCCTACATAATAAATAAACAAAAATCTACTCTACCTATATGTTAACTAGATACAACTATCTCTCCTACATAATAAATAAACAAAAATCCACTTTACCTATATGTTAACTAGATACAACTATCTCTCCTACATAATAAATAAACAAAAATCTACTTTACCTATATGTTAACTAGATACAACTATCTCTCCTACATAATAAATAAACAAAAATCTACTTTACCTATATGTTAACTAGATACAACCATCTCTCCTAAAGAACAAACTAACAGAATTCCCCTCTATCTACAGTGTTAACAATGACACTATTATTTCTCCTACAAACCATGCTATCAAAAGGTCCAATCAAACTGCAGTATTAAATGTGATACGATTATGTCTCCAGCACATACACACAAAACGGTGCTTTCCCAGTATCTTCCCCGGGGATGACGTCACAGGACAGTCCAATATTTTCTAGGGTGGTAAGAGCAGATTTCCTGGCTTTCGGATACTTTTAACTACCCCATAACATATAGAACTGGCCATACCCCAAACTCACCTACGTCGCACAAAAGAGTGCAGCCTAGGTCCCACGACTGCATGAAGCCTATCTACCACCCCCTAAAATATTCGACTGTCTGTTTGGGGAGAGATATTGGGATAGTACCGAAAAAAGCTAAGAAAAGTCCACGCCATGTATATGTTAACCGTGATACTATTATCTCTCCTACAGAACGTGTTAACGAATGTTCCAGAAGGTCGCCTGTTTTTGAGCAGACTTGCTTCTTGCCAAGTTGAAGTCTATTTGGCCTTGAACTCCACCAAGAATGCAGACCTAAATTAAACAGCAACTCTGACACTGAGACCCGGATGTGCATCAAAATAAAGATAAATAATGGGATGTTTTGTTTGACTGAACAAGTTCTTCATGCCATGTTAACCAAAATTTTCTAAAAATATGAATCTACAATTCTTTATTTCTTTTGTTCGCTCCACTAAACTTCCTAAATTGTATAAACAGTTCTAACATTCCAGGTGCCAGTTCTGGAGATTATCCTAAGCTGTTGTTTGTCTGTTTGTAGTTCGCGTTCATCAGCTGAAAGACCTGGTTGTTTGTCCATTTCTGGACTTGTTCAAGAACCTGAGTTCTGCGTGTACATGCGTTTAACAGATCTGACTTTATTGTTTGCAGATTGTTGGTTCCTTGCCTTTCAGGAAAACACACTCCAACTTCGAAGAAAGCCTCCAATTAGTCGACTGTTACGACATGCTTTTTGGGGAAGGAAATGGGTCTTTTCTTGTTTCCCCATAATGGGGCTCCGGAACAATCACGTCGAATTTTACTAACTCAAACTAGGTGCTTCAGAGATCGGGACTATACTTTTCCGTCGAAGGTTGGTTTTTCCACTGGAATTCACAGGGGTAAAGGAATAAGGGTAGCCCCAAAACACGTGTAGAAAGGAAATAGAGAGTGAGTTAGAAAGGTGGGATGGAAATACTGTGAGCTGCATGCAAATAACAAAAGATATGACGAGTTGGCATGAGTTAGTTAAGTCATATGCTTAATTTTGGAAAAATGGAGGGGGGGGGGGGCTGTAGAAAGCAAAGAAAACGAAAAAAAAAAAAGAAACGTCAATGACATTTTGGTTAGTTCGACGTTAGTCTCCCCAAATCGAGTAGGTCTCTTTTTATTCACAAGTTTGTTAGGCTGGTTGACTTTCCTAAAGGTTACGGGTCTGCCCCGTTTGTTTTCCTCGATGTTTTGCATTTGCATTTCCATTCCAAGGAAATGAATGCCTGTGCTATAGGTTGCAGCACTCTCTAGGGAGTTGTGTTAGACCCGGTTTTTCCATGTTTGTGGAGTGTTAAAAGCGATGGCATGCTGAATATAAATACGTGATATTACCGGCATTGCAGAACACCCCCTTAACCTTGTGCGAAGGTTACGTTCCTCAGGAACTACCAGTCAGAAGGGAGCTAGTGTATGTGGTTTCTTTGAAAATTGAGCGTGGGTATCTAGATTAGCTCTGTTGGCTTGCCATCCAAAATAAGATTTTGTTATTACAGGGTTATCGACCATTGCTGTAGCAATCTAGAGATAAGAAAACCAGAATTAGAAGGATTTTAATGGATCAGAGTACATATAACTGCAAGGCAAGGAACTAACAGTCTTCATACAAAAATGCCAGATCTACAAAATAAATGTACATGCAAAACTCAAGCCCTGGATAGTGGGCAAAGAACTAAAACTGTTTGTCGGAGTGTACTGGCGGCAACAACTAAGAAAGACAGACAATAAAGTAGTAGTTTGCCATTGCTTCCTAAATTGTCTGCTCTAGCTGCCACTGTCGAAATTAACGCAAGCGGTCTGTATATGTATTGTGAAACAGTTTTGTGTTTCCGTACTACAAAAGTGCAACAATATCAAAATAAAGGTAGA